GCAAGTAGTGCGGTCAGTTGCGAGTTCGAGCCCTGCCAAGAAGACGTTTTTTTTTTTTAATTTATCTTTATTTCTACTAAAGTCGTCCTCAGCTACTAAAATCATGAACATGAACAAAAGGAAACTTTAGCTTAAATTTAATATTACTACTAAAGGAAACGAGCGCGTAGCGCGAGCTGCATTTGTTGTTGGAAGAAGAGGGTTCAGGGTATCCCCTAGTCGGGAGCTCCCGAGTAGAACCTCTTACTTGTTTCTTAGTTGCTTTTTATACCCAGCGCCTTAAAATTAGCGGAGTGTAACGACCTTGGGCAAGTGTATGCTCCTATAAATAAGATACAACCTATTTATTGCTCATTGTTAATTCTTAAAGTCTATAACGAAATTAAACAAATAGCATTGCTTTAATAATACATATGTTGGGTATCTTAGAGTCACGCACACTTTCTTGTTTTATAATTTGTTTGCCTTAACTATTTGCTATCTTGCGCATTTCGTGTGTGATCTAGGTGCACCAGTTACACAAATATTTGTATGTATTTCAAGTGATGATATGAGTCTTTTGATGGGCAACATATATTTGCAACTGACAAACTCATCAAGGCGGTAACAACTATACAGAGTGGTAAGCAACACGGACCAAGGGAAATGTTCGTGCCTATGCGAAGGACAAAGACTGCTACTAGCGAGCCCTGACCTTTAGGTTCAGTCCTCATCAGCTACTAAAATCATGTATATGAACAAAAGCAAATTTTAGCTTAAATTTAATATCAGCATGGTGGTTTTATGTATATTCAATTTAAAAATATGTCGGAGAGGAAGCATTGTAGCATCTCGATAGGCATGAGACCTTAAGGTGTGACCATGGGTTGTGCTGGTAGATACTATCACTAACCATACAATGCATTGTATGGTTAGTGATACTAGTTCTGGTAGAATGGGGACTCAGTTTGCGAACTGAGGCTGTGTGTGGCTTCGTATGCGTTGCTAGATCTGGTCTCTCTCTGGTGTCTGTTCTGTGTTTCCGGCGTGGCGTGAGGTGGTCACGTGTGGGTATTTAAGAGACAATAATGAGCAACAAAGGCAACGAAGACTCGCTGCATCCGCCAGACCTGAGTACGGAACACCAGAATCCGAACGGTCAAGCAACCAACAATAACGACTTGCAGGGAGACGACTTCAATTCTCCGACATCAGAAGTGGGATTCGGCCCTAACCAAACTTCTTCAAGGGATGTCTTCGCGTTGTTAGAGCAGCAAAACCGGAATTTTCTGGAACTGGTTAAGAGGCTACAGATGCCGGCGAGCGAGTTACAACAGACTAGCGAGATTTGCTTGCCGAAATATAATCCGGACATTGCTGGGGTGGATGCCACGCAGTGGTGCGCTACGGTCGACATCATTTTACGAGCAAAACCGTTAAGTGATAGCGCTCTTATATTAGCGTTGAGTAAAGCTTTGGAAGGCGCAGCGGCCCAGTGGTTATCACAAATATGCTACCCAGGAATAACTTGGCAACAGTTCAGGCAATTGTTTGAGCAGCGATACGACACATCGGAGACGCCAGCCGCCGTTATTTTAAATTTTCTTAATAGTCGCCCAAGCAACGGTGAAAGCTTGCCTGTTTTTGCGGGTCGCAGCGTGACGTCACTGTGCACAAAATTGCGTAATTTGAGTTCTGAACAAATTTCCATCGCGCTGGTTCTTGGGCACATGGCTAATTTCGACCGGCGTTTGCAACGAATGATACACACAACGCATGTAAACAATCGAAAATTGTGTAAAAAATAAAATCTTTAAGATATTCAAATATACCAAATACAAAATAGGAGCAATTTTATATTTATAGTATTAATAATTTTATTGTCTTAAAATATTTAGCTTTTTCATATATGAATTTGATCTACAGGTAATGAGGGGTCAACATTCATTCATCAATTCAAACCCAAAATCATAAATAATAAGGGTGCGCGACAACCGCGGGCCAAAAATGATATTTTCTTTTGCGCCCATGATCTGCCCATTCACACACATTTGTCTATGTGTGTGTGTGCGCAGAGCTCGAAATTCAGAAATCACAAAATATTGTCAAATTTGGATCGGACAGGCAGGCAGGGACCAACAGGCACACATGCGCATAAATGCTTCTATTCATATACAAAATACGCAAGTATGCGTGAATAGCAAGTCCAAAAACTTTTAAATGCACACATGCCAACGCTTAGGTACCCTTTCCAATGATAACGAGCTAAAATGAAAGAATTTCGCATCGATTTGGCAAACCCTTTCATTATTTCATATTACTCATCCCCTCAAAAGGGAAGAAATGCCACCGACTTTTGACAAAAATTGAATTTGTGGGCATTTTTGCTTGTGCGGACACATACACACAAAAACATTTTAACGGTACCTAGACATAAAGAGAGCATTGTGAGCACTGGAGAGTAAATGCGAGCGAGATAAAAATAAACAGCGATGCCGTTCTATCGCACAAATCATATGGAAGAGAGTAAGCCAAAGCAGTTTCCTGTAGTGGGAGCGAGATAAAAAACAGCGATGCCGTTCTATCGCACAAATCATATGGAAGAGAGTAAGCCAAAGCAGTTTCCTGTAGTGTGAGCGATCAAAAGATGTCATATGTATATCTTACTCGCTCGTTGGACCAGATGCAAACCAAATTTTGGTGACCAACATCTTTACTCTGGTTGTCCGGTCTATATGTTTTTTGGTTAGTGGTAATACTCAATTGTGTGTGCAACCTCGCTATCGCTCATGAAGTGTTTCGAAAAAGAGCTTTCAATCCAAAAGGCTCCTCTGTCTCTTTATTATACTGATCGTTCGGCTTTTGAAGACGGACGTTCGGCTGCCACTCTCAGCAGTCTTACTCTATCTGGGCACACTAAAATGGTCTGAGGCACCCTTGGGGTCCGTCGTTGACGATTTATCGGAATACGATTACTCTGCTGTTTGACATGTCTATGCATTATATACTTAGTGCTAATACCTTACGTGATAAGGGTTCACGTAAAGGCAGGGTTTTGGGGAATTTGTGCAAATTCTTTTGCGAACTGTTTCAAACTCTTCGCATACTCCATCACTCCTTGGTTGAGACGTGCACTTTTTGCAGAATCAAAGATTTTATTGAGCGTGTTTTTAAGACTTGTCCGATTGGCTCCAAGGTTATTTTCAAACCCTAAGAACTTAAAAATTACGTGTTTCAGCGATATCCGCAAATGCTGTAAATTTTCGGAAAACAGTTGCATTAAAGTTTTTATAGTTTTGCCCTCCGATCGGCTTTAAATTCATTTTTAAAGATCTTTGTGAAAAGTCATCTGATACATGTTTCACATCCTTTGCAAACTCCTCGCCTCTTAGACAATAAATGCTGTTCAAAGATTGTATGGGCGAGGATAAGGGGATACTGCCATTTACAAAAGATCTTTAAGCAGAATTAATTTCATATATTTCACATAAACTCTAACTTTTCAGAAAATCTAAGGCTCCTCGTTCAAAAACAGCAGTTGAAAGATTTTTAAGGGGAAGTTTTTAATTTTGACTATCGGCTTCAAACTTGTTTTTAAAGCCCTAGTTCAGAACTTAATGTATACGTGGCTCAGTGATTTGAAAATTACAAGGTTTGGCCAGTAAATACCTTAGTCTATGACGCATTGAATCTTTATTAATATGCCATTTTTTTTAAATCAATCTATTTTTATTATGCATTTTGACAGTCTACAATCGTCGATAATGGCCTTCCCCATTCCTCTTAATGAACTCTACGGAAACGTGGCTGTCTGCGTTTATTTTTATGTTGTGCTTGTTTATAACATTTTCTTCTTTTATTATTCCACACAAATAATCGCATTGATGTTGCCCTATGTCCAATTGAATAAAAGTCTGTAATTCGTTATGTAATTGAGAACAGAACGTAATGGCAGTACGTTGTAATTTTTTGCGCGAAGAGGAAGCCAAATATAAAATAGCCTGGCGTAAAAATTTCGAAGCATTTTTTTATACGAAATTTTTCATTTCGATATAGGTAATAGCATTAACCATGCAACATGTGTTGTTGCGAAGAAAAAACCTGTTACCGTCAAACATATTTTATTGTTCTTAGAAACCCGAGGATTTGTATAACTAAAGAAACATAGATAGTTCATAAAACGACAACGACCTTACCAGCCGTTTATTAAAAAAGACAAAACTAAACCAATAAATAATACAAGATATACCTTTTAAGTTTGGACTTAATTTAATTTTTGGAGAATCTACAGAGTGAAATATTTTTGATTTGCTACCGAAAATTTAATAACAAATGTTGTACCATTATTAATAACCAAATTCATATTTGTTAAACTATCAGAAAAATCATATATGAGACTGGCTAATTATAACATCCTATACAGTTTTATGCAAACTGCTAAGCGTTGAACAGTTGATTGAGCACTGTTATTAACATAACAAAAATAAGTTCCTATAAATGTAAATATATCTTTCAGTTTGAGGGTCACTGTACAATGCTAATATTCAAATAGCCCCCAAAGTATTTTTACTATAATAACATAAGAAAATAATTAATATATATATATATATAATATATGTATTTAGAGTTTTTACATAATCGAATCCGATTTCGAATACATTCGTATAGATATAAAATCTAACTAAATTCTAAAAAACACTAACAATACTCCAATACAGGCCATATTTTTGTGGTTTCACGACCTAGCTTACTAATGTTAATCTTTGGGCAACTTACGAACTTGGCAAGTTGACAAAGTTTTCAGTACAGCTTTCCATCAAATAAAGGAGACATCCGCGGGCCGTTGGCGCCAAAAATGGCATCGATTGATTTCAAAGCAAATGATTTGCATTGAACAAACTATGAGCCGAATGCTAATCGAGTACCTTGGAGCTCTACGATGATGCAGGGGCGCCATAAAGTAAATTGTCCAATTTTAATTTGTTTATCTTATCTGCAGTGGGTGCCCCGTGCCCGGGACGTCCCCAGAACGTTTCGAATGTGTCGAAATGCTGATTACACAGGTCCCGGTCCATCTGCCTGGAGACGCTGACCGAGCGCCGTTTCTGGGATATTTGCACATTTAAATCGTGCAGATAGCGCATATCGGCGGCCGTTTGTATCCTGCAAGGAATTGCCCCAGTGGGTGGTTGGTTATGCAGTCAAGGTCGATGTTGGCCAATGGCGATGGGCAGCAACGAGGTTGGGCAAATTGTTGATTGTTGCATTGATAAGTCGTTTATTTTAAGTGTTTGTTTTGGTATCGATTTGGTTTTTGGTTTCGTTTTTGCAAACGGATTTTGCACGGGGATACATAGAAGATTTGTATTATGATTTGGTTATTGTTGGTTGTTCAATTTGTTTTGGTGAGTTTGGTCTTGCTTTTTTGGATGCTATACTTTCACTTGGATTACAATTGATATTTTCTTGCTGTATGAGCCAAAAGAATTGATAGAGAAACCATTAAAAACACAAAGATGAAGCAATCGTCGCAAATTATTTTCAATTGCTATGATTTTTGTAAGCTCAGCTCAGCTCAGATTTGGTATTTGCGCAGAGCAAGCAAATGGGAAACAGCTACAGTAATGGTAAGCATAATGCTAACAGAGAAACGAATGCGGATGCAAGTGCAACACACTGATAACGAATCAGAATTAGAAAAAGAGTCAGATACAAAGACAACAACGAACACACAGATGGACAGGTTGGACAGGATGGACTTGGATTATCGTATGTGCACTGTAAGGCGCTTGAGGCAACAGACGTCCGCTCGAAGCGGCGTTATGGTTGGGGCGCAGCCGCAATCGCAGCACTTCAACTTGCAGTCCAAATTCTTGGAAAGCCGTTTTATGTGACTAATGTTTTTGATGATATTGCTGATGTTCTGCTCTTTGTTGGACTTTGTCTTGTGCTTGGGTGGTGCGTACCTATCATGCGAGGGTGTCCTCTTCGTTACATCCGTGCTAGATAGACTGATGGGCCGGTTTAAGCCTCGCCTGCGTGCCAGCAGTGGTACCAGTTCAACGCCTGCCCCATTCTCCATACTGGCATCCGGTGTAGCTGTACTGTTGCCAGTGCCGCCCGTACAGTTCCCTCGCTGCACCCGTGGGCATAGTTTCACAGGCTTGCATTCTTTGGGCGGTGATCGTAGACCACATGCAGGCGCATGCGGCCTTGCAGCTGCAATCATTCTAGACGATTTTAGTGGACTTAAGGTGTTCACGGCGGGGCACTTGCAGGTGCAAAGATCACAACAGCGCTGGGGCTTAGATGGCTTGCTGACCCTCGATTTGCGAAATGTATTTTTCTCAGCGGGAGTCACGGGATTGTCCTGATCGAGCTCTTTAAGCATTTCCTTGTTCGTCCAGCCCTGCAAGCAATTCAACACGTGTGGTACTGTCTTAATTCGCTTTAAAAATGAGTCTTACCAGCGACTTCATAAAAGTGTTGCCTACTTCTTTGGGACTTCGCCAGGGCTTGCCACCAGGGCCGGCCTTGCCCCAGGGCTCTTTGCACAGCTGAAAGTGTGAAATTATTATGCATTAATAACGCTATGCCACCGTTGAAAGTACCTGCTGCTCACCGGCTTTTCCAGCTTTGTCTGTAGTTTCTTTTTCTGCGAGACAAGCTTTTCCTGCAGAGGATGGTCGCTCTCACTATTGACAACAATCTTGTCGAGCGTCGGCTTGCTTTTGCACGGTGGGGGAGGCCTGTATCGTAACTCAATGTCCACATGACCTTTATTGCGAAATGACATTGAGGGGTGCTCTTTCAGTTCGATGTGCACACTCTCACCGTTCGCATTGTGGCCCAGGCTGACACCAGCCTTCACCGGATGCTCGCGCTCACAGATGGTCACAGTGCTGCTTCGAGGTCCACTCTCTCGCAGATGATGAATTGAATGCGCGTTCGTCATTCGGCCGCCCGGCTGAAGTTGGCAGGCATGAGGATGATCATGGTGATGGTTATAGTAAGCCGCCAGCAGGTTTTTGTGGCACTTTTTCTGCATGGAGAAGTAATCATTGTAGCGGCAAGGCTGCAGCGAGTTAATGCGATGGGCGGTAGTCTGTAGCACAGAAATGGTAAGCATTGTATAATCAAAGCCTCCACTGCTGCACCAAACTTACAACTGTTGGTGTTGAGTGGAGTCCGACAGCGGTAATATCCTTGCGTCGCACCTCCACGTTGGGAGCGCCTCCACCCGGCCGACCCCAGGGGCAGTGCTGCAGGAACAAATCATAGTACTGCAAAAAATTAAGAGACATTGGTAACAGTCGAGTATGCATAATGTACCCATTTATGGTTTTCGCTTTATTGATTCCCTAGCAGCCTATATTCGGCACCTCCATCCATCCTTCCGTCTGTTTACGGAAATTGCTAATTCCCAAGGCACCAACATGGGCCTGCGAGGCCTGCTGGTTGCTATTTGTTTGTTTCGCTTGTTTGTAGGTTGTTGTTATAGCTGCGAGGTGGCTCGCATTGCTTTTCATTCACCCATTTTCTTCATCTTTTATTCCGGCGGAACTGAATCACATTGGCAATCATAAGCACGCGAGCTGTTGCTAGATAAGCTTAGTGACCGACTATGTTACTTCTGTTTGTGGGCTTGTCTTTATTAAAAAGTAAACTCAAACTTGTCAAATTTTGGCATTACATTTTGTTTGTTATAGGTCATTAAACTCGACCTGAGTGCTTGTCCTGGCGTGGGTGTAGTTGTAGGGATACAGGATACCAGGAAAAAAGTCCTTTACAAATAGTTTAATATAGTTATAAGATGTTGATGTTATTGCCCACTAGTAGAGTTGTAAAGTGCATGTCTTCGGAAAAAACAAACGCTGTACTCAAGTTTTAACCACGTTAATGTTACTACAGTGGTATAAAACCGACACACGCTTTACTCTGGTGGCCTTATTTTGAGAAATCGATACTAAAACAAAAGTTTACAAACTTGATGAAATTTACAGTGTGAAAGAAAAAAGAGTAAGAGTGCTCTAGTCTGGAGTGCCCGACAAGAAGATACCCTGTACCTTCTACTAACCACACAAGCACACAAGCCCGGGCAACGGTAGGAAATTGCGCGTGCCATATAAGGACACAGCGAAAAAATAGCATCAATTACATCAACTGATGTTTTGCAATATACATTTGGTTCCTTTTATTTGAAAAGACATACGTATTAGTCAATACATACACAAAATTTTGTTTTTTTAATTTTAATTTGAATAGAATAAATTGGCTTTATGCTTCTCATCGCATCAGACCTTATAGTCGCACTAACAATCAGATTATTAGCAAACAAAATCTACTATATGAAAAGTCTCTTCCAGGTTCTGAGAACGACGTATTCATACAGACGGACGGACGTGGTTAGATCAACTAGGCTATCAATTCTGATCAGGAAGAACTATTTTATGTGAATTCGAAGATGCTTCCTTCCTGTTACTTACTTTTGCACAAAACCATTATACCGATCTTACCCATTTTGGGGGTATAAAAAGTTCAGAAGGACGAATAGTTAAAAGGTATGGATGAATCTGGTATTTAATGACGCTAAATGCAGCACATAATTCCTTTTAAGTGTAATTAAAAATGTAGAAAAACTTGTTACTTTTGAAAAGCATGACTTTAGTCTGCGTTATAATGCTGAGCCAAATATGAAATTTCGGTAAAAATTATTAGACAGACGGTGAGCATGTTAAGCCCCACAACGCATGTTGCAGGAGACCAAAAAATTACAATTGGATAAATAGATCATTTGATTAAAATCTAATTCATCTAATAATTCATAATCATTCTAATGTTATTATGAACATTATATATTATAAACATGAATAAGTTTTTGAATGTTAATAAATATGTTACTAAATACGAACTCCATGATATTTAAAGATCGAATTATTTGAAAATATTCGATATTTACCTCCTGTTTATCCTTCTCCTTGCGAGCACATTCCTCAGCCTTGCGACGTCGCCACATACGTAAACTCTCCTCGGCATTCTTTCGTTCGATGAGGCGCTTCTTATCATCGCACCACATCAGCGGATGCTGGATGTGGTCATGGCAGAAGGTGCCCATCTCATCGCTAGTTGTCATCGTTGCAAGCAGCTGGAAGCGGCAGTAGCGTCACGTTCGGCAAATCACGCTCTACTAAAACAGTTCCGTGCATAACCTAAGCCTTTCACATCACAGTCGAGTAGGTCGTCGATTTGGTTCCCTGATCCGTGCCTGGTACGGTTATTGGTCTCAACTTTCAGCCCGCCAAATCAATTTGGTTGTCTAGGCAGCGTCGCTAGCCAGCTAGTTATTTATAGTCTAGGTCGGTGCACAAGCTGCACGTGAGCGGCGCGTATGTCCTTGAAGTAGGCTAGGATTGCACTTAGTTTGCTTAACTCGTTCTGGCCATTTAAATATTTTGTCAGTTAGGCACCCTACCGCTGCCGCGTTTGTTTGTTTGTGATTCCAGGGCGTCTTGTTTGCTGAGCCCAACGAGGATTGGACATAAAATAAATTTATTTTATAGTAAACTGCGGGCGCTGTGGTTTTTAGTAAACTGTGGCACAGTTGCCCCAATTCGACCCTATTCGTGTGGTTTTCGCATTAAAATAGAAAGCTCCCAAAACTCATCAATATTGAATTGGGGCTTGGAGGTTTCCTGCTGCAACACTTCGAACTGTTGCTGTGAAATATTGCGTGTGGCACTCCGTAGTTAACGTTAACCCAATTAAGGAACTTTTGCAAACTGGTTGATGTTTGTCAAGCTGGGCCTAGCTGCAAGCTCTCGGAATGTGTCAGCTAAATGAGATTCACTTAAGTCTTTCTGACCTCCATTACTCACAATGACTTGTTTGCTTAGTTTATTTTTACTATCAGTTTTGCAAAATAACCTTTTCACTAAATGCTTCATCAGTCAGAATGTGTAAGGGTTTTAAATCTTTATTTTATTTTTTTATTAACATCATCGTCGGTATGCCTTACAATATTGTATTTTATTCATGTTTTCGTAATATAACTATCATTATCAAAACAAAGTCATTTATTATGACCAATTACCCGAGCACCTTGCTATCCAAATATAGCGATATATTAAAGTTGTTCCATTTTACACGTTTATAAAGGTGCCTTTGGCTTAACGAGACTACTTCGAAAAACCGCACAAGGGTCTGAAGTCAGTTTAGGGCTGCACTATTAATTATTATTATTATTACAAATGGTTCTTAAATAAATGTACATCCATTAAACATTGAATTTAATTCGTTCGTTTTGTAATACAAAAATTGTTCTTTTTTATTGGATCAAAAATAAACCATGTTTGTTTATATTTTTAAACTAAGACTGGGTAGCTGTTTAAAGAGTAATTATTCTCTTTTTATTATCAAAATAGTTTTAACTAGTAATAATTGGTGATTATATAAAAATGTTGTGCATTTCATGCACGAGCGGTTCAAAACTCAGGTAATTTCATTAAGATAAGTTTACAAAAAATTGATAAAAACATATGAATCATGAGTTTGTGCTGGCTGAATTGGTGGCGAAGTGTATGAAGTGATGATTGAACCATTTAAGCATGAAATGTCGTAAGCACTGCTCGTTATGTTATATATATATATATTTTTTTGCTCTGACTAAAAACCATTTTGATTTGTTTAGGATTAAATTGATAGTCCATTTAACTTAATATAGGAGACATTTAAATTTAACAAAAATCTCAAACTGTAAAAACTGATATTACTTTAAACTAAACAAATTTACAAATTTTTATGTTTGCAAAGCTTAGCTTTTATCAGTTTTTACAACTTATTATTTATGTAATATTTGCTGTGCTTGACAAATATTCTTACATGTATGTGGGTTTTTAACATACGTATAGATATTCAAAAGCATTGCATATAAAGTATAATAAAAATTATTTTTGAATTGTTCATGTTTGTATATACAACGTACGTGAATCGTATTTCTGCCAGTTAATTTCTTACAAAATTTTGTGTACATTTTATGCAATTATTTACAGTGTCAACAACAATGCTTAAAAACTAAATAATAAATGTTGTCTTTACCATTTTCTAGTTTTCTTCCTACAAATTTTTGCTTGTTTCTCTCATTTGTTGACTTAACTAGCATTACGTGTTGCCTGCCTGCTTATAACTTAATTTTATTTGTGTATATATTAATTTGTATATATTTTATCAATCCTATTTCATACGATTGATGACTAAGTCGGCAACAACTTGGAGGCCCTTTTGATAGGGAGACTCCGTCAACTCCTGTGCCAGACGTATCGCCTCATTGCAATGCTTCTTAGCCAGAAAACGCGTTTGCTCTAGTCCATGCGACTTGTGTACCAGATCAAAGGCCCGCTCTACGTCGCCCGGTTCGCTGAAGCGACGCATTACCATTGGGTTGAGCTCGGGATACTGCAAGATGAAACATCAAACTGTTGTTAGTTATTGTAAGAGTTTTCTATACAGCAAGCGCTATCCTCACACTCAGGTGGGCTCGGTTTCGGGTCCGCATGCCAATGCGATCAGTCAGACACATTATCATTAGTCTCTATGGCCTCATGATACGCATGTACATGGCTAGTTTTAACTATTTAACTGGCTATCTTAGCGATTGGTACACTACTCGCTTTTGCCACTGCTGTTGGCGTTGGCGTTAAGATCGCTGCTTAAAACGCATTGCACGCGCGTTTAATCGCGCTTCGCATAATAAACTGACAGTCGTTTTTGATCTGAAATCGAAAACGCCTTACAAACGCATTTGATGGCACTCGATGCATAATCCCAGCAGCACTATGATATCATCAACATCATGAACAAGCATAAAGCACCAAGTTGAAAATGCACAAAGCTACCAATGCAAACACAGTTCTGAACAATTAGCAGAAGTTTCCACTGGTATAAACATTATTTAAAATATACTTTATAGTCGGCGTGTTGTCACAGCAATGAGGAAGTCAGTCCGGGGCTTACCTTTTCGCATGCAAAGAGGACCGGCGCTGTGGCCAGGCCCAGTTTTAAGTCAGCTGCTGTTGGCTTGCCCATTTGCTCTGTGGAAGATACAAAATCCAGCATATCGTCTACCAGCTGAAAGGCTAGACCAATATTGCGTCCATATTGAAAAGCCACCTCGGCAACATTGTCATCGGCCTGGGCGATGACAGCGGTCTGTGAAAACACAAAATCAAAGTCAATTGCTGGCCAATTCAATTGTCCAATTGTTCAAATGGGCACAATGACAAACGCGTTCGAGCAAATCAATTTGCAGCCTACCAATTGCATTGATATTTGCAATTGCGATTACAATCACATTTTGATTGACGGGATTACTCACCGCTTTCAGTGCGTTCGCAATCAACGATGCGGTCTTCCTGTAGGTCTTGGTCAGATAGTGTGCAAAGCGCTCATTCTCCGTTTCCCTCGAGCCGAGCTGCATGAATTCGCCTTGAACCAAATCTGTTAAAATCTGAAAAAAATAGTTAATTCACAATTTGTTAGCAGTTTAGTGGACTATAACGGAGCAACGTTGCTCCAGTCAAAAGTTTTGAATTGCCATAAAATGCATTCTGCCATGCTTCTTCCGCCCTCAGCACTACATATGAATAAGTTATTCGTGGATTAGGTCTCTCTCTACCATTCTTAGAGATTACAACCCAAAAACTTACATATATTTAGTCTGTCTATGCTGATCGACATCCTGTGTATTTCTCAAATTTGGTCCCCTTGGCTGTCATGTTCAAATTCTCGTGATATGATTTAAAAACGCGAGCTACATATTAATTTCGATCGGTTGTCGAGAAACGTACAGATTTATTAATAAAATATTTCATAGTACATATGTTTCGGATTCAGATCGTCGCGTTTCTTAAAATTCTAAGCAAAACATTTCTTTTTATTTCTTTCCATAAAGTTTGACTTTCCTTTATTACGTAAACGATAACTGTTAAGCCAAGCAATATCATTAAATTTGATAATATATATCCATATGTACAACATACCATATATTATATTATATATTATATATATATATATACTAGCGGGTATACCCTGGCCTTGCCCGTGGCACCTATAAAATAAATTCGGAAGATCTTTTAGTTTGAAACCGATGGGACGGTAAACAAAAAACTTTCATACAACCGTTTCCGCTAATTTACCACTGTTGAGGGTGAAATTTTCCAAATCGCTGAAACACGTATAAATTAAGTTCTTACGTAGAGCTTTGAAAATAAGTTTGAAGCAAATCGGACTAAAATCTTTGAAAATGAGTTTCAGGCCGACGGATGTTAAACAAAAAAGTTTCATACACACGTTTTTCGCGATTTTTCTGTGACTTTAGCTACAATAGTATCGATAAAACTACTTTTAGACAGATAATCGGATGTATGTATTGCCATTTTTGCAATTTACATAGATACATGTGCTTATAGATATTTGCGGGTAGCTTCCTCATGGATGATTGTTCAAATGAAAAGGGCAAACACAGATGTGCCAAATAGTTGGTGTAAATAAAATTTCATTAAGAGCAAGATGTTCAGAGGGTGGATGGTGGAATGATAAAGGAATGGATATAAAATACCCGTCCGAGGGTTATTCGTTAGGTAACAAAAATATATGTAATTTCAAATATTTAGTTTGAAATCAAAATTGCTAAATTGTATATTCGACTGGGATTTTATTACAAGTTTTTCTTTATCGTAAGGGTGTCTTCCGCCCAATAAGTTTATGAAGGGTTATAGGTCACACTGAGTAGTGAAGTTTTGAGGAAATTAGGAAAGAATTTCAAATAGAAATAAACACAAATATAAATGGGAGGGGTTGATCTGATTTGTAAAACAAATTTATGCCAAACAAGAAAACGGCAAAGATAAAATAATTTTTTTTTTTTAAACTTCAAATAGGAGTGATGTACATCTTTATTTTAAAATCGACCCTCGTAGTTAAGGTGATATTTTTATTTGCACAAAAAATGTTGGCGCGCCCTTCGCTTAATTTTGATTTTGTTTGTAGTCTGTGCCTCTCGCATAACTATTTTCATTCATTCATTCACTTTGACAATTTCGCAGGCAATTGTCAAAATGTTGAGCAAACAAACGGCGGGGTAGTATTTGGTATATATATGTATATATATATGTGGGCGCTGATTTGGTGGAAATCGTTGTAGTTGTCATTTGTCACTCGCAGCTTAAGGAGCCCAAGGTAAGAGCTAGAGACACAGCTCGGACATCGATACGGCCATATAAATATTTTTGGCCAAATCCCAGCGAATTGGCTTGTTTAATGTACATTATTTGTTGTTTTTTCTTTGCAGTTTACCTTAGAAGCAAAACAACATCTTGGCTTTCAATGTTAACTAATTCACACATGCGACTGAAATAAGCACGATCGGTGCACAACAACAAACAAAAGAGCAAGTAATTGCAGTTGAAGCCTTTTAAGCAGCTGCTGACAACATTTTTCTTTTAACCGCAAAATGAGAGCAGTCTTTTATTATTGTTTTTTTATTTTCGAAATGCTGCACAACTTCAATTTTAACAAAAGATATTTCCCAAGCCTATTGTCACCTGGCTTTATTTTAGTTAAATTAACCTTTGATTCTCACTTTCCATCAAAAAGCGGTGGATTAAGCGAAAAACGAAATAAATGTATACAAAGATCTCTGATATTGTATTTGAAGCCGATCCGACGGTAACAGAAAAATCGAAAATTTTTATCAAGTGTTTTGAAAATAACTTTAAAGCCCATCGAAAAAACTTGAAACTTCGTCTTTACAATCTTTGACCACCAAGGGGTGGACTTTGCAAAAAATGTGAAAGACATATCCGATCAATTTTTGAAAAGTTCTTAGATTTGTTTCAAACAATCGATTTTCCCGATTTTCTATACTTGCGGTTGGAATTTTTTAAAAACCCGTCTTAGCGTGCATCTTTATCACATAGCGTTACTACGGAAAAAACTTCAGTTCCTAAGTCTTATGGCTTGGGCTGTGCTGGAGACCAATAGTCAGTCAGTCTGCCAGGAAACAGTTTCATTTATATACTAGCTGGTAATTCCCGGACTTGTCCGGTACAAGTCTTTTGCTTCAAGTAATAGACCAATTTTTATCCACCGATTTCCCAACCGAGAGAAATTTAAGCACACCCGTACTATGTTGAACACTTCGTGGAAATCAACGCATTTCGCTCATTTTAGTTTCGTGAGGAAAATCCTGTAGCTGAAACGTTTGCGCATACAACCTTTGCCCGCATTTTCTATCAAACACTTATTGTCATACGGTTTTTATGTATAGCTTTGTAAAGTAGTTTAAAGTAGATCAGACTTACACTTCGCCCTTAGAACCTTTGTTCTCGATAGACTCAAATATAACCCGAGATGCAAGTTGTACGAGTAGATTTAATTTCCCACCAGCGAGAAATGGGTGAAATTGTATTCTAATAAAAAAACTTAAGCCGGGCAAGGCCTAGAAATACCACCTTGTCATATACAAAAAGATATTTGGTAACATATGCTAGGTCAAACTTTGCTTTTCATACATGTTTATAATAAGGTTTTAAGGATTTGCCTTAATTGGAATCACGAATCGTAATCTCCTCTGATCAGATTCCTAACAACAGCACATTTTAAGCCGTAACGGACTGGTTTAACACACATGAGCGATCTACCAATAATAAGTATAATGCCGTCAACGTCTTTGAAGCCGCGGAAATTACTTAAACGTGCTTAGCATATCAAATACAACAACCTGATATTGTTGTCGTTGTACATGAACAAAAATTCTAAACAGTCAAAATATAATGCTTGGGCGTTACACACAAAAAACTCCCAAAGCAACTGCGAAACTACTTCTAAGATAAAAGCGATGTCTTGGGTTTTGCCGCAGCATTTCTTATACACACATGATAATCTAATAATAAAGACATAAATGTATTAAACTAATACGAATGGATGTAACAAGCAATGGAAGTCTTCTCCGATCTTATATAAACTTCATCTCCGATCGCAAACGTCGATTTTGGAGACTACAAGAACGACGGTAACAGCCGTTACAGCGGTAACGGCAATTCAATTTTCATTGGGATACGCGTTCGATTACCAAGTATCCAAGCTTGCTTTTGACCCAATTCAATTTCAGTATTTTTATTTTACGTTTTTTATGAATACGGGTTATAAAAACGAGAAAAGAAGGCAAACTGCAGGCTAAATATTCGTAGCATTGCTGCTTGCTTCAAATATTGATTGTGTAAGTGACGATTAATTCGATTGCGCTGACTGACTTAGGCTAACTCCTATTTCTCTGACTCTTGCTACTGAAAGTGAAATTGTCAGCTGACATTTCGTCAATTTGTGGCATTGCTGCGAAAGTGTTTTGAATTTAAGAAGTCTGACTAAAATTTCTGTAATTTTGTAAATGGATTTGATGTGCCTACAAACAGCATTAAGTAGAGGAGACGTGGAAGCCGGTTTAAATATGTTCATACATATGTATCATAGTATATATGTGCAAGTAAATTGAAAAAATGTGAAGGCTGTAATGAACTCGCGATTGGTTGCCCTTCGCCTTGGACCATTCCAGGGTCGCAGGAAGTAAAATCGAGCAGTCACGTTGATTGTGGACGATAACTGAACAGGTTTTTCCCATGAAAACAAAGGAGTGCTGAACCAAACGAGCAACTTCCTTAGTTTAAAAATGTTAACCTGCCAGCCCGATATAAATAAAAATGTATATATTTTGTTGTTTGTGCAAACTGCGTGCGAAATCCTATACAGATCTGTGATCTGAGAACCCCAGATACTAAACTCATGTGCTGGGCTTTCAGTTTTTGATTATTAAATGCAGGTTGACTTTGGGAAGCCGAAGATTAAATACCCCGCAGACATATAGCAGAAATGCAGTATTGTTAAAACCTGAGCCCATTTAAAATAGGTAGAACGGGTATAAAGACAATGGTTCAATAAACGATTTTATCATTTGTATTCGATATCAAAGCCCATCGATTAAAATGGATTTTGAGACACGGTTTTTAAGCATAACTCGAAAAATATAAGAGCTAAAAGTACAACTTTGTCTGTACAGTTTACATATTCTACTTTTTGGATATCTTCCTTCATTTTCTAATGACGGTCACTCCCGTCTGCATCTCTTAATTATACCCTTGAAGAGGGTATTATAATTTTATCGTGAAATGTGTAACGCATAGAAAGAGCCATCTCCCCATAAAGTATATATGTATATCCATGATCAGTATCAACAGCCGAGTCGATATAAACATGTCCGTCTGTCTGTTTCTATGCGAACTAGTCTCTCAGTTATAAAGCTATCTACATATATGAAACTTTGCAGAAGTGCCTCTTTCTGCACACAGTACATATGTCAAAACCACTATATCATATAGCTGCCATAGGCATCATCGGTCGAAAAGTAGGTTCTTGTATGGAAAACATCTTTGTTTATCAAGATATCGCGACCAACGTCGGCATTTATTAGTTTTACTATGCTCCCTCTATTTATGCAAAATTTTATATACATCGGACTACTATATCAAATAGCTGCCATAGGAACGATCGGTCGAAAGTTAAGTTGTTGTATGGAGAACTCTTTTGTTTTTCAAGATATCTTAACCATACTCGCCATTCACTATTTTCTCTGTGATTCTTAGTTACGGGGAAATCGCTATGATCATTATGAAAAGGTTGGGTCTGCAAGGGTATTAAATCTTCGGCGTGCCGAAGATAGCCCTTCTTTCGACTTAAAATTCACATTCTCGCTACTCGAAATTTTGAAATTTTGCGCCCATGATCTGCCCATTCACACACATTTGTGTCTGTGTGTGGGTAGAGCTCGAAATTCAGAAATCCAAAAATATTGTCAAAATTGAATCGGACAGGCAGGCAGGCAACCAACAGGCACACACGCGCATAAATGCTTCTAATCATATACAAAATATGCAAGTATGCGTGAATAGCATGTCCAAAAACTTTTAAATGCACACATGCCAACGCTTAGGTACCCTTTCCAAAAAGAACGAGCTGAAATGAAAGAATATCGCATCGACGTGGCAAACCCTTTCATTATTTCATATTACTCGTCCCCTCAAAAGGCAAGAGATGCCACCGATTTTTGAGAAAAATTGAATTTGTGGGCATTTTTGCTTGTGCGGACTCATAAACAAACAAACATTTAAACGGTACATAGACAAATTGAAAGAGCACTGAGAGTAAGCCAAAGCAGTTTCCTGTAGTGGGAGCGAATAAAAAGACAGCGATACCGTTCTACGACACATGTCAATGTATTTCTTACTCTCTTGCTGTGAGAGCAGGCGGGCATGTCTCGAACCCAACCAAAAACAAAGGCGACTTTGGACCAGCCGCACTGAAAACGCTTGTCCCCGTCATTAGTACTCTTTGTCCAGTCTATTTTCTATTTGGTTGGTGGTATAATCTAAAAGAATATATATTTTAAATTTCAATTCCTTAATTTTTTTTATTTCAGAGATCGACACGTTTTACAGACGGACGTGGGTAAATAGACTCAGCTCATCGTCCCGACCTCAGCACTGCCTGTAACCTACATTTTTACAAAATGCTGGGATTCAAACCCGGTCCCCGTTTTTAAATAGTCCTAGACACGAGGTTACTTAATGTTTGGATAAACTGCTTTTAAATTAATTCAAATATTTTGTATTTAGACTATGGCATTACAAAATTGGATTTAACTTACTTGACTCAATACGATCGTCACATCATCGCTGCGCAGACGCGATATCATTATCGAGGCAATCGACAATATATAATCACCAGCCATTGTGACCTGTAACGACAACGACGAACATGGTAATCAAGTGTTAAGAGGCCCCAACACACGCACTAATATAAATATATATGAGTACAGTTAAATGTTTCGACAAAACCAATTCGCTGGGCAAGTAATGTGGATATGGAGCAAGCTGTTGATCACATCGAACCAAGAAATGTTAATTATTTGTTCAGATAAAAGCTCTTGTGTTGGCATTCAAAATGATGTCCAAATCCAAATTTAACTTGAACCTGTGAAACTAAAAAATTTAAATCGGCTAGCGGGAAAGACAGTCCATTATTATACGGCCTCTGCTTTAAGACCTTGCAAATGATGCAACTTATTGACAAAGTCTCAATAAAGTTTATTCCATTGATGGCCAAGTCGGGGTCGCGTGAAATCATTGAATCAACTGCTTGATCATTTTCGGTGTTATTCATTTCAATTGGCAGCTTGCAAACAGTTCGTTGCAACTGATCCCGCAATCGGCCAAAAAACATATTTTAGCTGATATCAACGGCTTACCTTTTTGTGATTCCATAGAGCATTCACGCTGGGCTTGCCGCGCCGAAAGTCCGACTGATCGATGACATCGTCGTGTACTAAGCTAGCCGAGTGGACCATCTCGGAGAAGAGGGCTATCTGTCGTTGCTTGTGTACTAATTGGCTGTCAAGGGTACGTCAATGGGTAAATATAAATTTTTAATCAGTATGTATGTAGTTATAATTTGGCTTTAATTGTTGTTCATAGACACTAGTAGAATGCGCACATTTCGCAATGGTCTGCTAATCATTACACTGCTCAACAAAAATGTGTCACTAATGCAGATAGTTGGCTTACTTACTGTGATTCGTTGTTCAGATGATAATTCAATGCCTTGGCCATCAGCATGGTCACCATAGGACGCAGCGCCTTACCCTGGCCATCAAAGTAGTAGCATGCTATGGTGTCCAATTCCGACTGCGATGTCCCCGACTGTAGCAACTGCAACGATTAATTGAAGAAGATACTAATGTAAGCTAAGCAAAAACTTGAGATTTGACAAATAATGATTATTATAATAATTATTAAACATTAATAATAATAAAAATAATAATAATAATAGCAGGTCTTATCGCTCTTGAAGCTAGAAACTACATTCTTAGAAATTAAATTCTTGTGTAAACCACTTCAAATATTATTATAGTTTGGTTACGCTTATTAGGGGCGAGCCAACCGCGATATCGCCTATAGTTTTGGACATGGCTTAATGGTATTGCCAAAGCGGCCTAGCTTTCCACAACTCTGAGGTTTGAGCATTGGTTTCAAATTAAAATATACCAATTCAATATATGTTGGTATTCACAGTTCGAAAAAGGTCCTTTAAAAAAACATGATTAACAAACAAAAGGAACTTTTATATTCCTGAAAGTACAAAAATGCAAATTGATATATTGAATGAAAACCGAACTGATAGGGGTTTTAACTATTAGCTGATCGTACTCAGCGCGATTTTAAATAAGTTAAATGGGCTGAAAAAGAACTACACGGCGTGTGAGCGGTTTAATGTATACACAAATACGCACAGTGCAGAAAATACCCTAATATCATTATGGCTTACAAAATGTAGTTTGGCTGTAAACAAATTCAAACAAAAAATAAAATGCGAATTCAGTAAAAATGATTTCTTAAAAAACTTGCTTTGAACTAATTTTAGTGTCTCATGTCATGTAAATTATTGGCTTTTCAAAAGTTTTTAATGCACAAAAAAGTTTCTTGTAATGTGCAACAATTGTTTAAAAAATTTTTAAATGATTATTCATAAGCAATAGTTATATTAGCTTTAAGTTACTCATATTTAAGCGGGACAAGGGGAAAAAATATTTGCTCAAAAATAATTATACTTAAACCACGTACACTCATTTTTACAAAAAAGAAAAAACACATGCCATTACACTCTTGATTTATGTACATATTTTGCTGACTATACTTACGTCTCTCACATCGTCGTAGAAATACTTCAGCTCATCATCGAGTATTATATATGGATCAATTTGTATTTCTCTCACGGGTCCAGCTGGTTGCTGTGTGTGAACGGAGCTCTGTGTGCGTAAACTCTGCATCGATCGGGGCGAGTACTGTGCGTTGTTATAGCAGTTGTGTGAGTTTTGCTGCGGGTTGAAAAAACATAAGAATAGTGGCAGTGCGATTAGCGAATTTTCCATAAACGCTGCAATTAATAATAAAGTGTGAAAATTACAGGAGTAAAAAAATCGCTTGGATAAACGGTCATAACTCCCAAAGTCAGCAGCAAAACAGCATACTACATTCGTACATAAAAAACTGTTTTTGAGTCACTTAACAACTTTCAATTGCTGGCAGCAGCACTAACGAGTTTTTGTTGCTGCCCCAAAGCAAGTGGAACCAAAAGCAACTTTTTTGACACTTATATTAGACGACAGCAGCAAGATTAATAACTGGAAAATTGCAGCGGCAAATCACCAACAAATCAAAGTTTATTATTTAGCGCTCTCGTCACGACTCTTGACCTTGTCGCCAATTTCAACTGTGCATACGTATCCTTTTGTTCTCGCACAACAAAGCGCAACAAATCACTTGCAACAAAAGTCTCGCGTAGGAGGCCGCACGGGACACATCAAGAGAGAGAGCGCAGCTATTGATCAAGTCAGTGTTGCCAATGTAACATTTTTCCTATATAACCTTTTTCCAATATACCCTTTTTCCTTTTTAATACTATGAACTCATTGAAAACGGGTAAATGGGTATGATGGTTTTGTAGCTAAATGCATTTAGCAAGTAGGAGGAGGCATAGATTGGCATTAAGAGCTGGGTCAAGTGAGCCAAACCCGTCTGTCCATATGTATGAACGCGTCGAACTTAAAACCCATAAGTTAAGAGTAATGCAATTTTAAAAGCTTTTCTATGGCCGCGCAGTTCGAGTTATTTTCAAATAATCGATAACCTTCTCAGTTTTCATAAAATCGAAATCGAAATCTTGTTTTTTGCGAATACCTCTGAACTATATTCATATATAAGTATAGTATATATGTATATATAGTACTAGCGGGTATAACCCGGCCTTGCTTGTGGCACGCACGATATGAAATCAATGTTTTCAAAAAAATTTGAAATGATTTTAAAACTGATCGGACGGTAAACAAATAACTTTCATACAAACGTTTTCCGCCAATTTACCACTGTTGCGACTGGAATTTCCCAAATCGCTGAAAGACGTATTCATTACATTCTTATGTAGAGCTTTGAAAATAGGTTTAAAGCAAATCGGACACAATTTAAAACTTTGCACAAAAAATCTTTGTGTCGCATTCCACCCGAAAAAGTTTGGATTCTGCGAAAAGTGTGAAACTCGTCTCAAATGATTTTTCTTATAGATCTCTGCAAATGAATTTGAGCGCGAAACGTCATCCACCAAATCTTTGACCTCCATTTCCACCAAGGAGGAATGGATTTTTCGAAAAGTGTGAAACACCCCTTAAATGAATTTGAACAAAGATCTTTGAAAATAAGTTTGGGGCCGATCGGATGGTAAACAAAAAACTTTCATACAACCGTTTTCCGCCAATTTACCACTCTTGCGGGTGGAATTTCCCAAATCGCGGAAGTACGTATTTATTAAGTTCTTATGTAGAGCTTTGAAAATAAGTTTGAAGCAAATCGGACACAACTTAAAACTTCGCCCAAAAAATCTGTAAATCGCATTCCCCCCGAAGAAGTTTGAATTCTGCGAAGTGTGAAACACGTATCAAATGATTTTTCTTATAGATCTCTGGAAATGAATTTGAGCGCGAAACGTCACCCACCAAATCTTTGACCTCCATTTCCACCAAGGATGAACGTATTTTTCGAAAAGTGTGATACACCCCTCAAATGAATTTGAACAAAGATCTTTGAAAATAAATTTGAGGCCGATCGGATGGTAAACGAAAAAGTTATATACAAACGTTTTTCGCGATTTTTCCACACTTGCGGGTGGAATTTCCCGAAACCCCGTCTTAACGTGCACCTACATCACATAAGGTAGCTACAGTGAAAATATCAGCTTCCTAGCTCCTACGGTTTGGGCTGTGCGTTGATCACCAATCAATCAGTCAGTCAGTCAGTCAGTCAGTCAGTTAGTCAGTCAGGACAAACAGTTTTATATATAGAGATACACAATGCCTCGCACATTTTTAAAAATGTTAAACTAAGACTATTTTCAGCATGCAAAAGATTTAATACGTTTATAGACATACGGTATATAGTACTTACGGCTTTGCGAATATGTAACAATAGTGATGCTGGTAAATGTTAAGTTTGGTGAAAATATCTTGGAAAACAGAATATATTGCCATAGAGTTATATAATATAGTAGTGCGATCTTGATAAGATATGGCTCATATATAAATAGCATAGTGAAACAAGTAAATGCTGGGCTTGGTAAAGATATCTTGACATACAAAAATGTTTATCATAAAAGAACATAATTTTCGACCGATCGTATCTATAGCAGATATATTATACAGTGTTTGATGTTAATAAGATTTTGCACATATGTAAGAAGTACGAATAAATTTTAAATGCCGTTCCTATGGCAGCTGTTTGCTATTATTATCGAATTACTATTCGATCTGGATAGTTCCGACATATGTATGTATTGCCTGCAACAAGAAAGAGGTTCTAGTCGGGAGCTCCCGACTAGGGGATACCCTGAACCCTCTTATTCCAACACCAAATGCAGCTCGCGCTACAGGCTCGTTTGCTTAAGTAGTAATTAAAATAGATTAAAAAAAAACAAGTTTCCTTCGGCAGGGTTCGAACTCGCAACTGACCGCATTTCTTGCTGCCGCCTCTACGCAGCAGCCACAACAGCCAAAAAAAAAAATAGTTTTCTCGGCAGAGTTCGAACTCGTAACTCGTAGCCACACCAATAATTAAGTCTAAATGAGAAAAAAACGAATTAAAAAAGCAGCACAGTAAACAATACAATCGCAGTTGCAATAATGTTAATAGAATTCAAAGCAGACGCGCATGAATGTGTGTGTGTACATGTATACAGAAATTCTTGGAATTTGAGATTGCTGCTGCACGTGTTTGCAGGCTAAAACACATTTTCCTTAGTGTTTCTTAACCGATCTTGATGAAATTTTCAGCAGTAGATCCTATTGTACTACAAAATATTTGAGTATTCTCAAAATGAAAATTGCATTTAAATTGTGACTTAATTAAGTAGGCAATAAAAGTTGGTTTACTAACATGATTTATAGCTTTTAGGTGGTAGCGGGGAGGTGGCTATAGCTATAAAATGAAAGATACTTAATATATATATATACTATTCTATGTCAAGTTTGGCGACTCTATCTTTATCGATTACTTGGAAACGGGGCAAGCTATCGAATATCGGAAACAAACTCGATCTGCTGGGCAATAGGAGGACCTACAGCTAAAATTTCAAGTCTTTAGCTCTTATAGGTTCTGAGATCCTTGCGTTCATACATACGGACGGACGGAGAGACAGACGGACATGGCTAGATCGACTCGGCTATTGATGCTGATCAAGATAATATACACTTTATGGGGTCGGAGATGCTTCCTTATGCCTGTTACATACATTTGCACAAATACATTATACTCTTTTTACCCATTTTTAACGGGTTCAGGGTATAAAAACGGACCCTTGGAAAGTTTTAATACTGAAAGACTAGTTTGCATAAAAAAAAAGACGGACATGGCTATATCAAATGAAATGTTGTACTGATCAATAATGTATGGGGGATGTCTCCTTCTATGCGCTACAAATTTCATGACAATGTTATAATAGCAAGCCTTATTAAGCCTTAAAAATTTCATAAATTCATTCATTTCATAATGAATTCCGAATCTATTCACGAAAGCATATCCCAATGTAAGCTAAAGAAAACAAATCGCAGCCTGTGCGAATAATGTACATAAACTGTACATAAAGTTACACAAATATTAATTGTGATATTTAGAGTTACAAAACATCAGTTCAAATTGTTCGGTCAGCAAGTAGACATCTTTACTCGTTTTTTGTCAAAGGCCCTGCTCTTTTTTTGCATAGTGTACGTTTTCGTAATGGGTATCGATGTTGGTTGGCATTACGTCGGAAATGGGAAATGGCATGCCTCGGGACATACCAACCCACACATATAGAAGGAAGCTAGAATGTTTGTAACGGCGACTCAGAATATTTTGCCATACAAAATACTTATTTTTCGACCGATTCTTCCTATAGTGCTATAAAATGTAAAACTGCTATATAATATAGTAGTGCGATATTAATATGATTCGGCTCATATGTTTTCTCAAAAGTTGTTAATAAGGAAAATAGTTTTCATACAAGAACTTTATTTTCGCCGATCATTCCTATTGCAGCTATTTGATATATCCGTCCGATGTTAATAAAATTTTGCATCTTGAAAAACAATAAAGTTTTCTAAAAAGAACGTTGTTCATACAAACAGACAGACGGTCATGACTAGATCGACTCGACTATTGATTCTTGTTACATACATTTTCACGAAACCAAACATGTCTGCACAAATAATTTGTAAGGTGCAATTGCGAATTGGACTGCTGGCTATTAAAGCGAAAATAAAATATATTAAATAAAAGCAATGAATAGAATGAAATTAACTATCTTTGAATTCTTTTTATTTATTTAGTTACCAGACACACAATTCTTGTTGTTTACCCTTCGTGGTTTAAATTGTGATCCTCGTGTGCGGTTATGATTAATTTTCCTTCTCTTATTAATCGTACATCCATGCTTGGTAAAATATTTATTCATAAGTTAATTACGGGTGAAATTGACTATTCTGGGTTGCCTAGTCAATTTAACTTCTCTATCCCTACTAGACTAACAAGTAATTATACACCCTTCTCGCTTCAATTTTGTTCAACTAACAATGCCTTGCATTAACCGTTCGGTATTCTGCTCGGATGCTTCTCTTTATCTAATAAAGTAATCTATTCTAAGCCATTTGGCAAGTAGATAGTCTTAGCATAGCCTTCACTCCAAATGATATAACTTTCTGCTGTCACACTACAAAAGATATAGATTTTCGCAATTTTAGGGTCAACGTTCAGCGTAGTAAATAACTATTTGGCTCGACCCTTAGAGGTTGTCTGC